ATTAAAGTGATGATACAAAGAGAGATGATATAGGTATGTATTTATTTAGTAACAAGAAAAAAGTATCATATTTTGTTAAGAATAGGCAACAAATGAAAAAACAGCACAGAATAATACAACTTTTGCTTTAAAAACATACAAAACACTATTTTCTGAAGTCAGTGTTTTAAGTGATTTTTTTTCTCTTACTGATATATATTTCAGAGTGAAAAAAATGTGTATGCTTATGTACGTGTGCATTCTATATGTATATGTGATTGTGGAGGTATGGTTGATTCAAAGTATGGGAGAGGCCTTGGTTCTAAGACATCTAAGACATTCCACCAACCAGGATAGCCAGTACCAAGGATACTCAATATATAAAGTGGCATAATATTTGTATATAATGTACATACAGCATGCCATATACTTTAAATCACCCCTAAATTACTTACAATACCTAATAAAAATTTAAACGTCATGTGTGGTGGTTTGAATGAGCATGTCTCCCATAGGCTCCAAGTATTTGAACATTTTGTCCCCAGTTGGTGGTGCTGTTTTGGGAGGTTTAGGAGTTGTAGCCTTGCTGGAGGAAGCATGTCACTAGGGTTAGGCTTTGAGAGTTCTTAGGCCTTGCTAGATTTCCAGTCACTCTCTACTTTCCGTGCCTGCTTGAAGATGTCATTGCTGGGCTTTCTGCTCCTGCCAACCCTGCTGCCGTGTCTCCCCACCAAGAAGGACTCTAATCCCTCTGGAACCTGGAACCATAAGCTCAAATAAATTCTTCTTCCTACAAATTCCTTTGGTCATGGTGTTTTATCACAGTAACAGAAAAGTAACTAAGACATCACATGCATAGTGGCAATAAAATATTGTTTGGGATAAGGGAAAAAAGTCTGTATATAGGTACAGACACAAGTTTCTTAATATGTATCTGATCTCTAGTATACTGAATCTGTAGATGTAGAAACCAGATACAGAAGGCCAACTGCATATGTAAAGAAATATGCTTTTAAAGTATAACTAAAATAGTAACAATAATAATTCCTTTGGAATTCATTGCCAGTCTCTATTGTTTACCTGGTCTTTTGTGGATATGGTCTTGGTAAAAGCATCAGCAAGTTCATACCTCTGAAGAATCAGCAACAAGAATCTGTTGGGATCCATTAGAGATGCTCCCATCTGTTAAAGAAATCCAGTATCACATTTCTTGTGTATGAAACCTGTGTCTATCAGAAAGCCATAAAATAACTTTGCAGAGATGATACTGTATATATTGCCCCTTCTATTTCTATGCTATCACATTCAGTCAATGAGAAAAATCCAAGTTAAAAAATAACTCCTAGGGCCAGGCGTGGTGGCATATGCCTTTAATCTCAGCACTCAGGAGGCAGAGGCAGGCAGAT